TTTTCCCTTTTTTTCTTTTTTTTTTTTTTTTTTTTTTTTGTGGTAATAGAGATTGAATCCAGGGCCTTCCTACTGAGATACAGCCTCAGCCATTTTTTATTTATTTTTAAAAATTTTGGTACCAGGGATCAAACTCGGGTCCTTGAGCTTGCGAGGCAGGTGGCGGAACCAGTGAGCTAAATCCCTGGCTTAGCCTCAACCATTTTTAAAACAGGGTCTCACTAAGTAAGTTGCCCAGTCTTGGGCTCAAACTTGTGATCCTCCTGCCTCAGCCTTCTGGGATTACTGGGATTACAGACATTCAACGTCATGGCCAGCCTTAGTGAGATTTGTCTCAAAAACAAATGGAGCAATTTAGGGCCGGGGTGTAGCTCCACAGCATAGCATTCGCCTAGCAGGTGGGAGGTCCTGAAGCTCAGTCTCCGCCACCTCAAAGAAAAGGAAGCAGGGCCGGGGGTTTAGCTCTGCTGCACTGCGCCTGCCTCGCAAGCGCAAGGTCCTGAGTTCGATCCCCGGTACCAAAAGGAAGAAAAGGAAACCCTGGGCACTGGGCGGAACAGTATCACCTGTCCCAGCTGAGGTCCAAGCTGGAGGACTTGGTCTGCCCAGGGTGAGGGGCAGAAGGGGCCCCCAGGCGCTGACCCCGCCCCTCCACCCCCAGGGCCTCGTCCTAGACTTGGTCAGCGAGGAGATGCTGTCCCACTCCAGCAGCCGCGGCTTCCTCATCGACGGCTTCCCTCGGGAGCTGACGCAGGCCAAGGAGTTTGAGCGCACAGTGAGTGACCCCGTGTGCGTGCACCTGTGTGTGTGTGTGTGTGTGTGTGTGTGTGTGAGCTCACGCTCTCCTCCTCCCCTCCCACACTGGGGCTGAGGCCCACCTGGAATCCCAGCTACACAAGAGGCTGAGGCAGGAGAATCACATTGGTTCCAGCCCAGCCTGGGCAACTTCGCCACTTAGTGAGACTCTGTCTGTCAAATAATTTAATTAGTTAAAATAAAATATGAAATGGCCGAGGAGGGAGCTCATTGTGAAGGGCTCTGGGCTCCACTGCCAGTACGGCAGAAAAAGAAATAAATAAAAGAGCTGACTGCCTGGGCTTCAGCGCTGCCCCACCACCTGCACTGCGCAACGCTGGGTGAGCCCCGCCGTGCTCTGTGACACCTCGGGATGCCAGTGGCGAGGGGCGTGGAACGGCCCAGAGGATGCATCCATCTGTGCAGCAAGAGGACGGGGCCAGGCTCCCGGAAGCTGCATGCTGCTGTTGCCATGGGGATGTGCAGGCCCTGTGTTGCCAAGTGCCTGCTTTTCCAGAGAAGCTGGGAGTTGGGAGGTGGCAGTTCCCCCATCTTTTCCTTTTTCTCTCAGCACTGAAGATGGAACCCAGGGCTTTCATGCTGAGCTGCATCCCCAGCCCTTTTTTCTTTTTTAATTTGAGACAGAGCCTAACCTACTACTGGCTCAATTGCCTAAATGGGCTCGAACAGGCGATCCTCCTGCCTCAGCCTCCCAGAGTGCTGGGGTGTGTGCCACCACACCCACCGTTGGCCCTGGCTTCCTCAAAGAAAATGTGAAGTTGGGCGATACCTTGTCTCAAAAAGGGGGGGTTTGGGGGATTCCATCCCCAATACCAAGAAACAAACCAACCAACCAAAGCGAAACACTGATTGTCCAAAAGGAACGTGCTGGACCCCACATCATCCAGGTCGGGTTCGTGGCTGCTGGCCTGAGCCAGTCGGTTTGTCCTCACAGGACTCCGGGGCCAGGAAAAGGCCCCTCGCAGCCCTCGAAGTTCATCCTGAGGAGAAGATGGACAGGTCTGTGTCACCCAGGAACACAAGGGCAGCCCCTCTCCACCCCGCTGTAGGGACAGCTGAGCCCCACTGACCTTTGATTCCATCAAAACACCTGGACTTCTTTGAGGGTTTTTTTTTTTTTTTTTTTTTTTTTTTTTTTTTTTTTTTTTTTTTTTGAGACAAGGCCTCCCTAGGTAGCCCAGGCTGGCCTTGAACTCTTACTGATCCTCCTGCCTCAGCCTCCCGGATGCTGAGACTACTGGCCTTTGAAGCGATTTTAATCAGGATCCAGGGAGTCCCTGAAGAGCCTGGGGCCTCCAGCCTGTTTTCGGCTTAGGGTTTCCACACAGAACCAGAATGATGCCCTGGGCCGCCTGTCCGAGGTCCACACAGCAAGTTCTTAGTGTCTGAGCTGACAGCTGAAAAGGGCCAGAGAGGTCCTCTCTGCCTTGTCCAGCCCTGGCTCCTCTCTCAAACAAGGCTCAACTTGCACTGTTGCGGAGTCAGGGGGCCACTGCCCCAACTACCCAGATCATCCTGTCGCCTCAGCCTCCTGAGGCTCTTTTGTGCCCAGGGGATGTGGGTATCTAAGGAGCAGATGAACGAAGCTGCAAGAGCTCCCCACACCCACACAAAATTAGTTCCTCAAATCCTCTCCTTGCAAGGCCACGGTATTGGCACAGAACCTGTGCACATTCTCATGTACTACTTTAATTTTTTATACAAAAATACATTTTTATGGTATTGGTGATTAAACCTGGAGCCTTCACAATGAGCCACACCTGCAGCCCCTTCAAAAAATTTACTTTGAACAAAACAAATATACTGTAATCCCAGCACTCGGGAGGCTGAGGCAGGAGGATCACTGTGAGTTCGAGACCAGCCTGGGCTACACAGTGAGTTCCAGGGCAGTCTCAACTACATAGTGAGACCCTGTCTTAAAAAAAAAAAAATCATTAATTAATAAATAAAATAAAAAAAATATTTTGAGACAGGGTCTCACTGAGTCACTGAATGGCCCAGGTTGGGCTTGAACTTGTGATCTTCCTGCCTCAGCCTCCCAGAGTGCCTGGATAACAGGTGTGCGCCACCATGCCTGCTCCATGCTGTTTTTGCTTCTGTGACTCCAGTATAATTTAAAGCAGGTATTAGTGGCACCAGCCTTGCTCTCCTGGGTCTTTTGTGTTCCCATATTAGGGCTGCTTATTCTAGGGTTCTAGATTAGGGTTCTAGATCTGCGAGAAGCAATTCTGAAGCACTGAACTGAAAAACCACCTTGGGCCGGGCGTGGTGGCGCATGCCTGTCATCCCAGCACTCGGGAGGCTGAGGCAGGAGGATCGCTGTGAGTTCAAGAGCATTCTGGGCTACACAGTGAGTTCTAGGTCATTCTCAACTACATAGTGAGACCCTGTCTCAAAAAGAAAAAAAAGAAAAGAAAAACCACCTTGAGTAAGGCAACCATTTTAACAGAATTAATTCTGCTGACCCATTTTTGTGAGAGGTCTTTTCCTCCTTCATCTCCTCCTCCTCCCGTATCACATTTATTGGTGTGCTTTAGAGATACAAAACGCCAACACTCCCCACAGGGAAATTGTACCGGTCAGTGGTACATCCCGCCTCTTGTTTTCCCACCCTTCCTGCCCTCAAGCCCTCTCCCCTCCCTACGTAAAAGCCGTTTCCATTTTTCCCTTCTATGTTCTCTTGTCTTTCTTGCCCCTCCCTCGCTCCCTGACTCTCCTTTCCATCTTCTCAGGTCTTCTTCAAGTTCCTATTTCCAGCTCGGCACGGTGGTGCACCCTAGGAGGCTAAGGCAGGACCACAGGTTCAAGCCCAGCCCTCACAAATCAGCGACTCAGTGAGAACTGCCTCAAAATTAAAGCAAACAAACAAAAAAACATCAAAGAGGGGGATGGGCTAGGGATGTAGCTCAATGTGGAGGCCCTGGTCCAATCCCTAGTACTAGGGAAAAAGAAAAAAAAAAGACCGTATTTTGAGACAGGGTCTTTCTTTTCTTTTCTGTTTGTTTGTTTTTTTTTTTAGGTATCAGGAATCAAACTCAGGTCCTTGGGCGTACAAGGCAGAGGGGCAGAACCACTGAGCTAAATCCCCCGCCCAATAGAGTCTTTCTTTAAAGA